GAACACGTATATTTTGATTTAGGCTACGACACAATCATTTGTGTCAAGAATAGAGATATGTAGGATCAAGTGTTTTCTAGTTCCAGTACTCACCTAGTGGAAACTATTTCGGAGAATGCACTGCCATTGAAATTTTAAAATGTCTTTAATTAACTTGTTTTGATTAATTCAACCAACGAATATAACTTTTTCTTGTTTCGAACACCTATAGTAAGGAGAAAATTGATTCGATATAATGTGCGATTAGATAATAGACAAACCCGTTTCTTTTTTTTGTTTACTTTTCAATGAAGTAAATATTGAACATCAAAGTGACCTCACAAAACTGTTCATTTAATGACAAGGTTGCATCTTGAACATGAAAAGCTCTCGATTGAATTCGTTATTGAGTTTGATTTTGTAAATGCTTGTTCATTTTTTTTTCTAGTACATTCTTTTCTGCTCCGTAGCACATTAAAAAGAAATGTAAATAAATCATGTTGATTGTAACTCCTCTTCTTTTTCGTCTTGTAAAGGTATTTAATAATTAATCTGTATTAAAAAGTTAATTTATGAAATAATTAATTCTTTATTTTAAATACGATTGTATCGAATATTTTTTTGTCTGGAAATTTTTTTTCATCTTATCCTTGAACATGTACATCTATATGGAAATAATTAACAGTCACTGTTGAATTTATTCATTTCGATAGACGATTTTTATAATAACAAGAAATCCTTCATAAGCAAAATTATGTTTATGTTTGTCTCTCTATGCTTTTTTCAACCTAAAATCAAGTCATTTTTGATGTTTTTGGATGAATATTAATTCTTATAAGATTCAGCAACGATCATTCATGATTAAAAATGTAGTGGACGGTAAAGAATAAATTTGCATTAATTAATATGAATTCTTTATCGATATTAGAAGTTTCTCAATCACGTTATGGTCGAAAGATTCTTCAAACTGATTCGTCATCGTCATCATTCGATACGTCTCAACCATTATTCATTGCTCTATTATGTATAATTTCAATTCTTACACTTGCTTTTGTTATAATCGTTATTATACTTTGTTATCGATATTACTCTCATCAAGGACGGAAAGTCAAATGTAGGCATAAACATGATAATACATACAAAAAAAAATTCTCTTCACAAAATAATCAACAATCGATTGTACCAATATCAATGACAGCTACATCTGCGTATTCTGTTCGATCAACTGAACATTTATTTTCTAATTATTATAAACCTGATCAAACATCATCCATTGATAGATTACCATCACGTCGTTTACAACAATCAATAGTAGATGCTTATTTAAATGATTTAAATTCATTTCAACCATCAAAACTTGATGTTAAAAAATTAAAATCATATTTATTTATTGATCTTCATTCAACATCAAGTGAAACATCTCCAGATAATAATATTTCAAAAGTATTTAGTAATAATACAATAATTAATACATATAATAAATCAATTGAAAATGAAAATCAAAGAAAACATCATAAATATCTTAAACAACAACAATGTTCATCAACATTAACATTAAAACAATCATTTAATTCTCGTTTTATTATGCGTGAACGATCTTTACCAAATAATCTTCATCAACTTCCGCAACTTCGTCAAACAAGTATACAACAACAAAAAAATTTATTTCAAGAAGATAATATGAATAGTAATACTGCAACTATTATGAATCAAGATCTTCAATCAAATAAAATATCAAATACGAGCGATGATTATGATAATAGTCATGCTTATCATGTTAATCAAAATCAAATAATTCAAACAATAAATGAAGAAAAACCTTCAATTATTCCACAATATTTTCCTCATTCATTTGTATCTCCTTTTCGTCATCATTATGATCAAGTACCATATTGTTTTGAAAAAGTTTCAACTTCACATGATGATGATGATGATGATGATAATGATAATGAAATGGCATACGAAGATTTTCCTACTCTAGGTAAAGGAGTTATCTATATAAATGATTCAATTGTTGTATAAAAAAACAAATAAAACAAAACATAAACTCTATTTTTTCAACGCACAAAAATTATAAAATAAAATAAAGATAATTAAAAAAAGATGAAATCTAAAATTTCACATCAATGACTATTAAGATGGGTAAGACCTTAACATATCGAGATTAACTAAATATAATAATTGCATGCTGTTTATAAATGTCCTGTTTCATAATCATTTTATAGCTCGAAATCGTACTGCATCAAAAACTTCATCAATATAATGAACATATCGTTGTCCAATAAATAATAAAGCTCCACTAATTGATAAACCAATTCCTAAGCGAAGAGCTTCTTTATCAGGAAAAATTGTTCGAATAATTGTCATAATTAAAACTGTACCAAAATTAAACATTGCTGAACCGTAAATACTAAACCCAAAAAAAAAAAAATCACAAATTATTTTTCATGATTTGACAAAATTTTCTTATTTATTGAATTATCTTACCTATATAATAAACGTTCAAATGTATGACTACCTCGTAAATGTTTCGAAGTATATAAATACATAGTAATCCCAATATGAGACCCAAACCAAAGTGCATTGGTTACAGGTAAATCGATACGAGAGCCAAGAAGTCTGTTAATAGGAATGAAATGAAAAAAATATCAAAAGAGTTTGTTAATAAAATATCAAACCGAGGAAACGATGTTGGTGCAAGTACATGTGCTGAAAATCCAAAGAAGAATGGTGTTGTTAGAAAAGGTCGATATTTTGCAAATAAAAGTTGTCGACGAACACTTGGAAGTGGTGGTTCTGACATTTTTTTGGAAACTTGTTTACCAAATCAAGTTCTTATTGTTTGTGTTCTATTTTTTTACGATGTCAAGGCGCCGCCACAGGTCTATTCGTAGATTTTTATCGTACAGACAACTGGATCAATGATCTTCCAATCGTCATTTTTTCCTTTCTCTTTCTTTCTTCGTTCTTCCGCCCTCTGTTCGAAGGATTTAACATTTTTTTCGGATAAGTTGTTATTTATCTCTTGTGTTTTTTTTATTTTAATGAAAAAAAAATCGAATCGAAAAAAATTCAAAAATTCAATTTTTCGATTTGATTGTTTTTTGTTGTTTTTTGTTCTAAGTTTTTCAATGTGTTCTTTTATGAAATCAGTTTCGACTGTTGTTCAATGATATCTATTTAAAAAACGATACATATATATATATATATATTAATGATAAATTATTCGAGATCTTAAGATTTTAGCAGACTAGTAACTATGATTATATTCGTGTTTCTTCTCTCTTCTTTTCTTTTCTTGTCGACAGTGAGAGGTCAATCGTTTTGTTGAAACAGGCGTCGTTTGTAGTCGGCGTTCGACACGGCATGTTCTCTTTTGCGTTCTTCTCCCCTCCCATCACCATCCATTTTCCATCTTGCGAGAGTATAAGCAAGTAAACGAGCCAGCCAATTCAGAGTGCACATGATCGTAGTTCGCTTTTGTATCCATCGAGAAGAGTATCGTTATTAGATAATCTATTCATTGTTATCTATACAGATATTTGATGAACTGGATTATATCCATATTTAAATATTCCAAAGACCTTTGTTTTTTTACAAGATAAAAAGTAAGAAGGATTATGACATGAACAACAGAAAGAATATTAATTGAGAATTTATATCCCGGTTTAAACAATGTTTAAGACTCAAATCTAATTAGTCGAAACATGGGAATCATTGTCGAGATTGTTAGTTTTTTTTTTCTTTTTCTTTTGATGACATATACATATGCATATGTACAATTGATGTTCATAGTCTATATTTGGCCTGTCTACTTTCTTCTTTTTTTTTTGCACGCTTGAGGAAACAAATCATCACATTTCTCTGCACGGAGTCGCTCGCATATTCAACGAGTCCCTTACATTCGTCATCGTATTCTGTTTCTTCACTCGACTATTCTCTATTTAGACTTTTATGTCTACGTCGATCTTTTTCTGTGTTTGCCTCTATGCGTAGGTGTATGTGAATGTTGGCTTCTTTATTGCCATCATCACAAAACTACTTTCTTTTTTTTAAACGCTATAAGGTATGCCTGTATGTGTGTGTGTGTGTGTGTTTGTTGTTGAGAAATTCGAGTTTTTCATAAAGTTCAAATTGAATCATTGATGATGGTGAAATGCTTATAATGTCCTTTTTTTTTTATTCTTCGTATGACTTGCTTTCTCTAGTAGAACCAAATACCTTCGGTCGACAGTAAACAAGAAACTCGGGTCTGACCGAAGCGGCGGCGGCAATGACGACGGAAAGAGAGAGAGAGAGGAAAGAAAGAACGAAATTCCGTATTGAGGGATGATAGAAGGAGATGAAGGGTTGCTTACCCCCCTTACTTGACTGGTAGCGGCCCCGTTAAGTTTTACCCTTCTTGTTTGCTCTCCTACTGTTGCTGTATTACACACACGCTCACAATACAGGTACAGTCACGCGGTAACGATACTATCTTTTTAAAAATGAAGAAAAAGATGAAATCTATTCGTTTATAAAATTTTCTTCAATATCGCAATTCTTGACGGTCTTTTTTTAGATCTAGAAAATGATACGACAATTTTTACTCAAACAATCAATTAATCAAATTTCCATGCGTTCACTCAGTTTATGGTATGTATTAAAATAATTCTTTTTTTTTTTTGTCTTCATGTAAACAAATACATACACATAATAAAAAAGAAAACAAACAGATTACTTTTTTGTTAAAATAAATATTCAAAAACGAAAAGAATTTCAGATAAAAAAAAAAAAAAAGAAAATTGTTATGTCGAATAAACGACCTTTATCACCTGAATCAACAAATAGTCAAATTAATGATTCTAATATACGTTCATTAAAACGTTTAAAACTTCATTCAATCATACAAGAATTACGAAATGAAGAAGCTAATTTAGTTATATTAAAAAAACTACGTTCATGTCAACAATTAACAACACGAACAAATAACAATACATCATCAACAACCACAACAACAACAACACCAACAACACCACCAACAACAACAACAACGACAAATGGTTTTCATCCAACAGCAACACGTATTCCAACAATTAAACCTACAATACCTAATACTTCATTGCCAAATTCATCATCGCGTACATCTCTTCAACAATCATTAACATCAGCTACACGTAAATCATCAAATTCAATAAATCCACCAATACCAACGAAAATTCCTACGCCTTTACCAACAAAAACTCCTTCATCAACAATTTATTCCCTTGAAGAACGTAAAACTCAAGCTAAAAAAGCCTTACGTAATCAACTTGAACGTGATTTATTAAATATTCCATCACCTAAGCCTTTATTACGAGATATATTATTTATACCAAATCCAACTAGTCTAGAATTTCAACCTTATATTGGTCTTGAAGATGTTGTACAATGTTTATATGAATTACAAACTGATCGTCAACGTTTACCACAACGTTTTACTGATCGTGCACAAATTGATGAACCATATATATGTGATCATTGTGGTACAGATTTTACAATACGTTGGTGGAAACATTTAAATACAACTCAACAAACAAATATATTATGTGATCGTTGTAAAAAACAAGTTGTACGTCGTACATCAAAATCTGAACATTCAACATTATTAAAAAATGTTTTTGTATCAGCTATGGAACAAGAAAAAGAAATTGAGAAAACATTTCAAACACTTATTAAACAACAACAAAAAAATGCATCACGTTCTTCCTCAGCATCATCAAATATATCATCATCAACAGCAAAACCAATTACAAATAATACTACTACTAATAATAATAATAGTCGTCCAATACCATCTCCAATGCCATCTATTCCATCATATAATCATCATCATCATCATCATCATCAACAACAACAAAAAACAAAAACAAAATTATCTTTACCACAAACACAAAATTTTGCAACAAAAATTTCTCAACAATCAACATCATTAACAAATGCAACAAGAAAATCAAATGTTACTGTTCAATCACATATAAATTCAACAAATAATATTCGATCATTACAACATAATAAAATGCCTATGCCTGCTCATCAACATCAACAACAACAATTTCGTTCAGCAAGTGTTTTATCACAACAAACAAAAACTAATCAATTAGTTAAAACACCTAAAAGTGCTGTAAGACAACAACAACAACAACAAGTTGTACCATCTCGCCCAATGTATCATCAACCAACAAGTGGAATTATTCCATCTTCAGCTATTCGTCCATCAATACCATCATCAGCTAATATAAGACCAACAGCAACTAAACGACGAACACTTCCTACAGTTAATATGAAATAAATTGAAAAACAAAAAATAAATTAATAATTATATTTATGCGTATGCATGATCTCAAAACATTGACAACATGTTTTTCTCTAGGATAATTTGTACTTTCTTTTTTTTTTCTTTCTTTCTTTCTTTTTTTTTCTGCTTATGTGTGTCTATGTATCTTTTGTGGTGCAAAAAAGAATAATCTTATGTATTAAAAAAAAAAACAAAAGAAACAACTTGATAAAGGTTGAGTTATGTGATACTTATGTATATATGTTTCTATTAGGAATGGTACCAAAAAAGCTTTAGTATTCGTGGCTAATGGTTCAGAAGATACTGAAGTAGTGGCTACGGTCGATGTATTACGACGAGGTGGTATTGATGTAAAATTATGTAGTGTTGAAAAGAACGTTAAAAACCCAATAATATGTGCTAATAATATTCAACTAGTACCTGATTTACATATAGACGATGTTCAAGGACAACAATTTGATGCTGTTATCATACCTGGAGGTATGTGTAACCTATATATATATCGAGAATAATAAAATTCTATGCATCTATTTTTATTATTTAGGTAGTAAAGGTACAGAACAGATAGCATCATGCAAAAAAGCCGGTGCTCTTCTTGTTGATCATTATAAAACAAATAAATTGGTTGCAGCTATCTGTGCTGGTCCTATAGCATTAAGTACACATTTATATGATGCCGATGAAAATGCACGTAAACATGATATAACATGTTATCCTGAAACAGCTAATACACTTAAAAATAAATTTAAATCAGTTACATTCGATAGACCTGTTGTTTATAGTGAAATTAATAATCATCATTTAATCACTAGTCAAGGACCAGCAACAGCAATTGAATTTGCTTTAAAAATATTGTGTCATTTAACTGATGAAATCAAAGCTGAAGAAATACGTAAAAAATTACTTGCTTAACATTTCGTCATTTTAGTTCCGTTTTATTCCATCATATATAAATAGACGTGTATTTTGTATTTTTATCTAATCGAGCAAATAAATAGTTTTTTTTATTCTTTCTTTTTGTCCTTTTTTTTTTCAGAATACAATGACATCAAATCGTTATGATATTGATGATAAAATATATATAACCGATTTTTTAACACATGAAGATATCCCTTCATTTATTAAATATCTTAATAATTCAACAATACATGCTAATACATTGGCAATACCATATCCATATTCAACAAATGATGGCGAAGATTTTATTAAACACATAAAATCGGAATCATTAAATTCAACACGTTTTTTTACTATTCGTTTACAGACAAATAATGAATTGATAGGTGCATGTGGTTTACATCGTTCAGTTGAAAATGAAAGGAGAACAGAAATTGGATATTGGCTAGGTGAACCATATTGGCATCGTGGTATAATGCCTAAAGTTGTCAAGAAAGTAATTGAAATAGGAAAAAATGAATGGAAGAATTTAGTTCGAATTGAAGCACAAATATTTCATTGGAATAAAGCATCAATGCGAGTTGTAGAAAAATGTGGATTTGCACTCGAAGGAATATTGCGTAAGCGTGTGCATAAAAATGGACAAGATATTGATGTGTATTCATATGCATTGATTATTGAATAATTGCAACAGCATTCATTGATTTTTATGATTATTCATTAATATTATTATTCTTTTAGATAGATTTTTTTCTCTTGCCAAATTGATTCAAAGAAATAAAAAATGTTTTTTTGTAAGTTCGATTATATTCTAAATAATATTTGATCTAAATATAGATGATTTCCTTTTTATTCTATTTTGTATGTCACTAGAGAAAATGATAATCAACAGAAAAGAAATGGTTAATGATTATATTTATTGAACAAAAAAAAAAAAGAAGAAAAACATCTAGAGAGATTCAAAAGGAAGTTGATAATTGAACAAGGTCATTGACAGATCTAATGATAATGTCAATTTAAAGAAAAAATAATAATAATAATGACAGAGACAAAGCTATTGTTAATAATTTGCAAATCAAATAATAAATTCTGACGAGTATTTTTCATATTAGTTTGGAAGAGTAACTGACATGGATGACATTTTTTGTCATCTAGTATAGGTTGCGGAGAGATGTAACAGATAATAAGTTATAGACGAGAAAATATCATAAATTGATCTGAAAACTTAGTGATATATTGAATAAAAACTGCAATGTTATTTATTATTATGCATTTTGTCTAAGATATATATATACATATCCATTAATCATTTTCATTCCAAAAAAAAATACATATTTGCTAGTTATATTTGATAAAAACAAAAGACCAATACTATATAGAAAAATTTTACGTAGGTTGTGTTTTTTCTTCTTTCTCCGGAATAACAAATCCTCCTTGGATTTCTCTCTATAGATATATACTTAAATAGAGAATCTCATTTGGAAATATTCTCATGTAAGTAAAACAACTATTTGTGTATGTCATAAAACTTTATTTTTATCATTTCAAAAAAAAATTCTTTTCTTTTCCCGATAGCTAATTACCCGTAAATAAAATACGAAAAAATCGTAAACAATATTTCTTTATTTCTTATTAAAATCAAATATCGCATAGAGATATAATTAAGCATGAGTGTCTGGAGGTCGACAAGATTGGGTGTGAAGATCTACTGAGAGGTTTTTGATAAAATTGACCTACTTTTGCGGGGGAGAGGAATGAGCGCCTTTTTTTGGGAATCGGTAAGCGAAAGAAAAAATAAAACGCTAGAATTCCACTAGTGACCAACGAAAATTTTTCTAGATTCAAGGTCATCCCTGTAACTAAATCCACTTCAATTATCTTATGAAGAGTCTTAGGTATCCGTCATGAGTCGATAAATTCTACATTTTTATTTAGGCCCTCGTTGTGGTAATATGTTATTTGTCGAACCAGGTGATCGATGCAACCGATTAGCATGTAATACATGTCCATATATATGTGATATTGTAACTAAAATAACAGATCGACAATATACAAGTTTAAAAGCAGTTGATGATGTTCTTGGTGGTGCAGCATCAATGGATAATGTTGATAAAACAGAAGTAACATGTCCAAAATGTGCTCATACACAAGCATATTTTATGCAAATGCAAACACGTTCAGCTGATGAACCAATGACAACATTTTATAAATGTGTACAATGTGGTCATCGTTGGAATGATTAAACATAGAACAATAATAATAGAAATAATAGATGTCACTAATTGTAAGGATTTACTGATTGTTGTTGTTCAATTCGTCACATCAAAATAAACAAAAGAAAAATTATCTTATGTCAACTTTTATTCTTTTTTTATTAAGAAATTTTAGAATAGAAAAAAAACAACATAAAGGTTGACATAGAAATTTAATTGGTTAAAATAATCCGTTGGTTTAATTGAACATATATTGTGCGAGAGACAGACAGAGAGAGAGAGAGAGAGAGAGAGAAAGCAAGAGAGCAACATCTGACATTGTCAGTTAATTTGTTCGTCTATTTATTTTCCAGATAATCCAAACGAAATATATTCATACATCCTATCTATGACATACAATAATTTTTATCTACAATCTTAAATCGATATATTATTCTTCCATGGGAAATCGTAATGGTAGTTCACGTCGAAAACAACGTGATAGTTCATATACACATTCAGATATTCATCGAGATGGTTCTATAAAAAATAAAAATGGTGGAAGTGTAAATCGAAGACAAAATCAACCACAGACACCTACTATTCATCAGTATACAGATGGTTATGGAGGAAATTCAGTAATTCAAACAACTAATAATTATAACAAAAATAATTCAAGTAAAATAAATTTATTTATTTTATTAAAATGGTTAATTTTCTTTTTTTTTGTTTTGCAAGATAAATTAATTTATGTGGCTAATTATGATTTTAATGGTACATCAACAACTGGTGAATTAAGTTTTCGTAAAGGTGATAGATTAGAAATTCTTGATAGATATTCGTAAGTAGCGCTTTTTTTTTGTCTCTTATGATATGCATATTAAAAATTAATTCTCATTTGATTTTTCTATAGTTTTAATGATTGGTGGCAAGCTAAAAATTTACGAACAAAACTAAGTGGTTATGTACCAGCAAATTATATATCAGCTATAAATGATTTAACAGCATGCGAGTAAGTTAAAAAAATTAAAAGATTAGTAGATGTTATATCATAATAAATATAATATTTAGATGGTATTTTACTGAAACAAATCGTCGTGATGCCGAACGATTTCTTGAACAACCACACAATGGAAAAGGAACTTTTTTGATTCGACCTTCGGATACTAATCAAGGTATATTTTCATAGAACTATATTTTCGATAGTTTGTTTCTGATATTTTTATTTCTTCTTCAGGTCAAGAATCATTATCTGTGCTTGATTTAAGTAAAGATAAACATTTTCATGTTAAACATTATCGTATACGTCGGACAGATCAAGGATTATATTATATAAGTAGTAAAAGTGTTTTTCCAACATTACAAGATCTTGTTGATCATTATCGAAGTAAAGAATAAAAATTTTTTTTCTTTGTATAAAAATAAATTTCTTTTTTTTTTTTCATTTGTAAAGCAAATGCTGATGGTCTTTGTTGTTTATTAACACGTCCTTGTCGAAAAATTGAACCAACTGTTCCAGCTGATCGACATGGTCTATTAGAATTAGATCGTTCACAACTTCAACATACTGATTTACTTGGTCGTGGAAATTATGGTGAAGTTTATAAAGGTAAATATGGACAACGTGATGTGGCTATTAAATGTATGAAAATGGACAATAAAAATCGTATGTGTAATGTTGATAAATTTCTTGATGAAGCAAAAATAATGAAAGATCTTTTACATAAAAATATTGTACGTTTATATGGTGTATGTACACAAGAAGAACCAATATTTATTGTTACGGAATATATGGCACATGGATGTTTATTAAATTATTTACGTGATGGACCAGGAAAAACTTTAAAATTTAAAACTATACTTGATTTTGCTGCACAAGTAAAGAATCAAAAATTTTTCGTAGACAAACGAAAAAGAAAACTTTATTTTAGATTGCCAAAGGTATGGCTTATCTTGAACAAAAACGATATGTTCATTGCGATTTAGCAGGTAAAATTTATACAAGAAAAAAAAAAAAAACTAAACTTTTGATTTTAATTAAAAAAAAACAATTTTTATTTTCAGCTCGAAATATTCTTGTTGGAGAATTAGATGTTGTAAAAATAGCTGATTTTGGTTTAGCAAAAATTCTTCAAGGTGGTCGTTTAATGGTCGATAGAGAATCACAATTTCCTATTAAATGGACAGCACCAGAAGCAGCAACAAAAAAAGAATATACAACCAAGTCTGATGTATGGAGTTTTGGTATTCTTCTATATGAATTAATTACACATGGTTCAAATCCATATCCTGGAATGTCAAATAATGAAGCATTACAAGCAGTACTGAATGCTTATCGAATGCCGAAAGTAAGATTTTATTTTATTATGTTTTTTTGTTTTTTTTTTGAGTGTTTGTTTATAATGATCATATTTTTCAGCCACATGATTGTCATGAGCATTATTATCAAATAATGTGTTCTTGTTGGCAAGAAAATCCAGATAATCGGCCTACATTTGAAACACTTTATATGCGTTTTGATGAATTTATGATACAAGCTGAACCAAGCTACCGAGAGGTAAATTACAGATAATTTAAATCAAATCGATATGTTATTTTTGAGGTTGTAAAAAAGTTTTCAAGGTAATTTTTGTTTTAATGAAATACGATAAAGGCATTCATGATCAAGACATGAGAACAGCTTGTAAAGGAAGATATATGACTTTATTGTTCTATAGTTATTTAACAGATGTATTTTACATATGATACACTTGTGGTTTTTATTGATGAGATTTTTAAACAGAAAATTAATGTTACTAAGTTTGTTCTTCGTTACTGGACTGATGAAGAGATTTTCCTATAATCATTTATAAAATATAAATTAGTTCATTTTGTGAAATATATACGTTGATGATTATTAAAATTTATCATGGCAATGATAGAGAAAAGCTTAGATCCTAATAGCTATATTTGATTGTTGCGAAAAGTAGCCGGTGACTCACAATCACAAGATATATCTTGTGAAGATCCTTAAAAAAAGTACAATAAAAATGTAATCTTGCCGATAGAAGACAATTCTATTTACTGATGAAAAATACTTTTCATTAGAATGTGTTTCTGTTGCAAGTCAATAGGAAACAGACGAACATCCGGAGGCATAAACCAAAAGGTTAAGTATCCAAAAAGAATTATCACGTAGTTAGGTATGTCTAATAATCATCTAACGTCTTCTATTATACTTAACTTGATGAAACCTTATCACATGAAAATTATATTGAAGTTGTCCTCCTACATGTGCAATCGGAAGGTTAACGACCTCTTGACAGCAATCTCATCTATCAACAAGACAACTTTATGTTACGTATACATTAGGAATCACAGGCATGGTGTGAAAAGAATTTCATGCATTCTTTAATCAATCACATATGGCTACCAAACAGTTCTGATCTTAATGTTTTGGATTATTATGTTTGGGATGCTATTACTAATCATATGTAATTGGAATAGTGTTAAAAACTCTGATTCTGTAATAGATGTAACAAGAAAAGGAATTTTGTCATGTACAAAACGGAAATGATCTTATACTTGTAGCGTCAAACATTGCTTGCATAGAGTTTGATCCATTTTGAAAACAAAGGGTACATATATAAAATCAGATTTTTATTATAATTTGTACAGTTTTCCATTAAAAAATATACAAGCAAAGTACCCGAACTGAGACACATTATTTGAGCTCATATTAAGTTCACATGGAAGTCTTGGTAAGACTAGAAAAGTTCTAATATGTTTCGTTTTCATGAATCTCTGGAGCCGAGTTATGACTGTTTTCCTGAAATTTCGATCTGAAATATTACCAATCGATAGATCTGATGATTTCAGGAATGTCGTGAAAGTTTCAGCCGAAAAGCATGCTCCTTTGTCGAGATATTGAAAGTTCGATCAAAACAACAATAAAAACATCATAAGTCGACTGCAGAGGTTCATATGCATGAACTATTTAAAGATTTAGTCTTACTGACACTTTCTTCTGAGCTGAATATGAACTCAAACGGCAGGTATCAGTTCAGTCAGCTCTCTCGTCAATAATAAAAAGAAAAAAATACGAAAATCTATCATGCCGTTGTTTAATAACTCTACAATGTTTGTCATCACATAGACAGAGTTTTTGCATCCTATGTAAAATTCATTATGAATGATACATATAAAGTCTATTAATTATGTACGTCTTTCTATTTAGACATGATTTATTTGTAATGACAACCTGTGTTTCCGAACCTATCAGATACATTCACAAGAACAAAGTTAATAGCTTGTCGACATGCCTTATAAACGAGTTTTTTTTCTACTATGCTATTCTTATTCGCTTCCGTACATATATCTATATCTTCTTTGTTTGTTTTCTTTTTGCTTCTGTCTGTTCTTTTTTTTTCTCTATATGTATATCTTACATTTAATTCCATCATATTTTCTTTTCTTTATTGATATCAACAGTGAACACTCATTTTTTTTTTTCTTCGTTCTTAAATCATTCAATGAAAATAATACTCTTAGCAACTTGATAGTTTTGTTACTACGCAAATTTATCTATTCGTTTATCTTTTGCACATTTCTATACTTGTATCGAACAGTCCACTTGTATCGAAATATCAAATAAAAGACAAACGATTGTGTGTGTATCTTTCTAATGATGATAGATCGTGTTTCTTTTTTTTTTTTTTTGTTTTCGTTGGATTTTTTTCTTCTATAAAAAGAAATCTAATGAAATTCCAACATTTTGGCTTCTTCTTGTCTATATATCATAAATTACAAAATATTGAATGTGTGCAATTGTTCTGTATGTGTGCTTGTTGTTGTTAGTTTTGTTTTTCTACACATCATCCATCCATTTGAATACACATCAAATTAAACAAAAAAAAAAAAAAACAATACCCTTAATAATCTTTTCACAAATATGATTATTTAATCTTTTATATTGTGTAATATCCTTTTCTTATTTTACGTAAATTAAATCCTTGTGAATAATGATAACTGTTGACGAAATCGAAATTAAAAAAGAACAAATTTTGGAAAATTATGATACATTTCAACTAAATAGATATTAATTCGTTTTATCTTAATTTTCTATGTGTCATACAATGAATGATTTTCACAAAAATTGACAGCTGCCTTTTTGCCTATTTAATCTTCGTATTTCGAGTAGTTTTTCTTCTTGTGTTGGCATGTTTATGTTTTTTTTTCTTTCTTCTCATTCTTTTTTTTTTTTGAAAAGTTTCATAGATACTAGATGATATTCCCATTCGAGTGTTCTATCCTATAACCGTAAAAATCAGTTTTGATAGTTTAATAATATTCAGATGAGTTTTGTATGAAACCCTCTAAATGAATTTTTTTTTGTTTATTTTTAAAAAAGATAAAACTCGGTTGTGTTAGTTTGATTTCCGTCTTCTTTTTCTTTTTCTTTTTTTGGAAATGAACTGATGACTAGATTGTCTGTATATATAATTATATATTTATTCTTTATGATGCAGCAGCAAACATTTCTGACGCAGTCGTAAAACGTGAAGAACTTCGTGGTTGATTGATATTTTTAGTTAAAATTGACATTTCAACAGTTGTTTGTTTTTGTGGAATAGAAGATTTTGATGTTGATGGACGACGAAATACACTCTATAATAATACAATATTTATATTATTGTCTGTTGGAGTCATTCTAGAATGTTGTGAAAGATCTGATGTAGTGTGTAGAGTGATATGTTCCTGCTGATGTGATGGAGATACAGGTGATAATGGTGCATTATTCAATGTGTTTAAACTTCGTATAGGTACAAGTACCTCAGAACCTAATGTTGATCTATGATCAGCTCGACCTGGTGTCCATGCAACTGATTGTGGTGGAGGTCGATAGGCAAGAGTTGTACCTCTTACAATGCGTTTTCTCATTTCACGCAAATCAAATGATGTTTGTAATGGAGATTGTTGCTCTTTTAAAATAGCAGCAGTGGCTGCAGTTGGAGGTGGCTGTCGAATGCCTTGTTTTACTCGTGCAGCATTTATTTCATATCGAGCATAAGCTTGAGCAAGATTATAAGAAATTAATGGCTTTTGTAATGCATTGCCATCATTATCATGACCATTTCCAATACCGGGCAATTTTTGACTTTCTTTATATGCTAAACCTTTATAAACGAATTTTGATTTCGGTACAGGTCGAATATTTGGCAAAACTTGTCGATTATAACCTGTCGGATCTTGTACTGATTGTTCTTGTTGTAAAGCTTGTAAATCTTCCATAGCGTGTCGGCTTCGTTTCGAAATTGGTTTCGCTTGGACATGTGCGCAAGTAACAACTGATTGCCACATTTTAGTTGATTCTTGTTTAAAATCTTCTTTATCAATAAATGTCACTGATGTAGGATATTGTAATTCACTACTAGTTATTGATTTGACATTGAAATTTGTTCCTACTTGTGTTTTTTTCTTTGTTAACGAACGTTCGTTAAAATTTCGTTCTATGATATTATAATTTGTGTTTGTAATAGTTCTTCTTATTAATGGAATACTTTCAATACCCGTCGAATTTGGAGAATTTCTTGGTGAAATAAATCGTTGGTTTTCAAATTGACGCACTTGAATTGGTGAAAAATAAACGTGTCCGTTATACCCTCGCCAAACCTATGAAATAGAAAATGTTATGAACTATTTAATAATATTCTAAAATTCATCAATCATTAGATCTCTTCTAGATCATAATTTAAATAATTCACTGAATTAAACTTACAAAATAACCTGATTTTACAACTATGATGAAAAAATATTTAAAAATATCTAACCGTTTAAGTTAAGCAAGAAATATAAATGTACATATTTGAAACAAAAATGTTCTCGCTCACTTGATGTAAACAAAAAAATCACAAGTAAAAAACAAAAGATATTATTTTGCTAAATGGCAATTTCTCTTTTTTTTTTTTACTTTTATTGAAATCTATGTATGCATAAAGAAAAACGAAAGGGTTGTGTGTATGTTGTTGAGCATAGTCACAATTTGTGCTACACTCGAATACAAATTGATTTCTCTTTCGCACTACTCAATCTTTCATTCATTCACCATAACATAGAAATCAAGTAAAACGAAGATAAACATCATGAAAAACAGCTGAAATACTAACTCGAAGTGGTTCTAATGGAACAGGTCGAGTTTGTTCAAGATAATAAAATTGAGGCTGTAGAAAACCAAAACCTGGTGGTGGATCACTTGAACCGAGTACAGTTGCAACATCATGATCTAGTTTACTTTGACGAGGAGTTTCCAATGCTTGTCGAACTACTGCAGCATAATCATAAACTGCTTTTGGGATAGTTACTTGTGTTTGATCATCAATAATTGATGATGATGATGATGGTTCATTAATGAGTCTATTAAAGAAATAATTGACGATATTTTCATTCTTGTTTTTTTGTCTGCGAGAAAATAAACTCTTTCTCTCTGCCTCTCTCTCTCGCTTACATGTTGTTTGCAATACCATCAAAACTTTCAACATTAGTTATTGAAATTGATGATGTGTCTTGATGTTCTTTTTTATTTGAAATTTCATCATTTGTTATTGATGCATCATCTGAATCACTTGATGATTTAGCATCAATATTCATATCATCATCATCATCAGTTGAAGTAAATGATATGATTTGTTTAACATTTGGTAATGTTGTTATAAAAGTTTCTTTATTATTTTCATTCATTCTAGATAGAAATATAAATTTCAAACAGATTCGATTCTTTTTCTATTTTTACTTACATATTCGATAAGATCAAATTCGTTAATCTGTTGCATTAAAATTGAAAATCGAACGTTTTATGTGTATTTCTTTTTTTCTTTAAATAACAATCGTTAAAGAAGGAAAAAAAACTTTTGTAACGTTTACTTAAAGTTTGTTTTTAATACTTCTCTTTAACATACTTTTGGAATTAAGTAGAAAAAAAAAAAACATAGATAATGATGAAAGCGCCTCTTCATATACCTGTTCTACTTGAGCATGTTCTAAAAATTTTATGTCATAATGAAAAACAAGTAAGTCCTTTCAAAGAAGAAAAATTTATTTAAAATGTAAAATTTTAAAATAAATATTAGATATTCTTTGATTTAACATTTGGTGCAGGAGGTCATACAAAAGGTCTTTTAAATCGAAATGAAAAATCAATAGTTTACGCTCTTGATCGTGATCAAAAGGCAATTGAATTAGCTCATGAAATGGCTAAAGAATATCCGTGTGAGAAAAAAAAACAATTCTTTTTAAAAAAAATTTCATTAGAAACTAAATATTTATTTTTCAAATATAGAAATCGATTATTTCCATTTCATGGTCAATTTAGTGAATTAAAACAAATATTTAAAAATAAAGAAAATTTTTTTGATGGAATTCTATTAGATGCCGGTACAAGGTAATACAAAGAACAAAAGAAAAGACTTAAATTTTATTCTAACATTTTTAGTACAATGCAATTAAATGATTCAAAACGTGGTTTTAGTTTTCGACATGAAGGTCCATTAGATATGAGAATGAATACTAAATCAAAATCAATTACTGCTTATGATCTTGTCAATAAATTAGATGAAGCAACATTAAGTCGAATTATTCGTTTATATGGTGAAGATCAACGTCATCGAAAAATTGCTCGATGTATTTATCAATGGCGTTCAACATTTGGTCCAATTTCAACAACAACACAATTGGCTAATATAATTAAAATAGGTCTAGGAGGAAGGTAAAAATTTATATTGACATTGAGTTATTATTTCATTGAGGTTCGCTTTTGTTTCTTTTTTTTTTTATTCCAGTGCATCAGATGTCGATAAACTAAATCGTCCTATTCATCCTGCAACAAAAACATTTCAAGCATTAAGAATTGTTGTTAATGATGAACTTAATGAACTTTATAATGGCCTTGAACAAGCTTATACGTAAGTGATACTCATAAATATTAGATTTATTTGAAATTTGCTTTTTTTTCTTGATCGCTGAAATGTAACTACTGTTTAGTATAGTATTATGACATTAAAGAGATGTTTTTATTGTTTTACAACACTGTACAAAAGAATTCTAAATAGAATAAAGACAATCGTTCAACTACACGTTGAACGTCATTCAACTTCACATTAAGACTATGAGTAGGTCTCGGTGAGACTAAGAAAAACTTAAAAGAATTCGGGCCCATGACCTACTGTTGATGAATTATGAGTGTTTTAATGAAAGTTTTACTAAGGATAAGATCTTTTCGAAAAGTCCAAAACAAAGTTCTCAATAATATTAGTTCATTGAGCAAATTGTCATTTTTCTAGTATCTTCTATCTTTAGATAATCAATATTCGAAAATTTTCTCATATGTAAAAGACTATTTTGTTCATATATTTACATCTTAAGAAACGAAATACTTACGTGACCTCAGAGGGAACGACAGCTTTCTGTTGAAAAATACAGAAAACTTTCTATATCTCTAGAACTGACATCTGAAGAGATTCTTCTATGAATGATGTTAATTGAAATCAGTTGTTTACATAATGACAGTCATGTATACAAGAAAATGACGTATTTATGTATAATCTATATTATTTTAGACTACTGAAACCAGGTGGTATATTATTATGTATTAGTTTTCATTCATTAGAAGATCGTATAATAAAACGACATTTTCAAGGTATTGTTTTACATTCTGATGAATTCGTATCAAATATGGATGACAAATCATTAAATATTCAAGCTGAAAAACAAATACGATATGATATACAAACAAAACATATTATTGAAGCTGATGATAATGAACTTGATGAAAATCCCAAATCTCGATCAGCTAAATTAAGATATGGAATAAAACTTTGATTGTTGTTTTACATTTATATATATATTTATTAAGATAGATATATATATATATATAAAGAAATAAAATGCTTTTATTTTGTTTTAATCATAACCAAGTACTTCAGTTCGTACACGTTTTTTATGTTGATTATTATAACATGTTTGTAAATGTTCTATTTCTTTTCCTAATTGATTTTGTAATTGCCAACCATAATCATGACCACGAGAATTAGGAATCTTTAAGATGAAAAAAAAAGAAAATTCACAAAAGAAAATGGATAAAAAGAAAATTTCCAAACCTTATTAGAAAAACGTGTAGAATTTTCTACTGTACTTTTGCTTGGGTTAAAATTTCCCTTAAAAAAAACATTGAAGATATTCTTTTATTTAATTTTGTTTTCTATAAAAATAATACTTTAGAATCATAATCAGCCATCCAGCCATACATGTGTTCCCATTCTTTTCTTGTTGATGCTTCTTTAGAAATACTTTCAATCCATAGTTGTGTTAAAGTCCATGGTTTAAATACAGCATTAGTTGGTTTTTTTGAAGTATCAAAAGCAATTACTGTAGTTGTTGAACGTGCAGTAGATGGTGGTATAACTGATTCAGTACGATCTCTAAATTTAATAAAATAAAAATTTCAAAAAAGAAAAACAGAAGTTCTGTTTTTACCCTTTACGACGTATATTGGCCATGCGTCTGATGTAGTCAAGTACTGTTAATCTGTTTGTTGTCAAATCAATTCTAACGTATAGTTGCTTTATGTATGTTAATCAGAATGTTTTCATTTGCATTCAATCTCTCTTCACGACAAGCTCTATTTTAACAATACAAACATGCTCATTCTCATTCTCTTTTTTATATACAACCAAACACACACACACAAATAAAATAGTGTTCATTGAGCTTTTCGTCGTCAAACAAGAATGTCGTAAAGGAATATAATATAATGAAAGGAAATGAGAAAAGAACAACTAAAAAAAATCGACCGAGTGTTTCTTTATTAATGACTAGTTGACTAAGTTAATTTTGACAGATTAATAGTAATGTTTCATGGAAAAACTTTTTTTGTGATTGACGAACTCCATAATTGTTTAAAAAAGAGCAATTTTAGTCGATATATGAATACCAAAACCATTCAAAATAATTTTCAATTTACTCAAGGGTCATAATAAAACATTACATTCGTGTAATTCTTCACATAAATAGTAATTATGTTATCTTCTTTTTCGAGAATATCATTCATATGACTTTATCATTACAATAGGATCTTCATGCCATGACATGCTATTGCATTGAAATTTTGTGCACATAATTGGAGTGTCCAGTTACATATACAAAAACAAAAATTCAATTTCGTATCTCGTTATGTGTTATAGTTAAAACAATTTTGTTCTATTCATAATATCCATTTTTCGAATCTTTTCCTAGATTTAAAAAAGTGCTAAGCAGCTCAACTTCGTGATGCAATAAAAAACCACACTCGTACATGAAACCGTTTGCTCTTGGCATTTGCAATATCTTACGATATAATCCGAGCATTGCCTACAGTTGTCGTATTGTCATGGTAGCCGTTAACGAAGAGTTTCTACGTTCATTGTTTACGGAGATCGTTATACAGCATAAAGCATCGTATATGATTGCTGTAAACAATCACCGTAAACGTCTGCGATTCTTCGTCGTAAGTGACTAATATACGACCGTGTACGATGGAGTGTGATTGGCTTAGGTTTATTTAAAGAATTGCTTTAATTTGTTTCATTGTTGGTATTTAAAATTAAATTATGCTAGAATGAGTTAATCGAGTTATTTTCAACTAACAGCATCATTATGCAATAAAAAATTTTCTGTCAGGTATTCTTTCAACAACGATCAGTGGGTGACAAGTTATTTTTTGTTTCGAAAAGATAAACTACTTTTTTAATGTTTCAACAATGAATTTGAATACTTATCAAAGTTTGTTTTTGTAAACGAGAAGGTCATAATTGAAACAAAATAATTTGTGAAATATTCGAATTAATGAAACTTTGTATTTTCTATCTGCAATTTTACAATGCTATGCTAAATTTCTTTGCTGGCGCAACTTTCGGTCCACTGAATATACACGTGTGTATTTTTCAGTAAAACAAAGTTGAAAATAAATACAGAAGATTATTGTTAAGATGCGTACATATTATAATGAAAATAAAAAATTCATCAAATCGTTTCGAAAATTTCATACTCAGCAAGTGATACGCTTCAATATAGTTGCTGCTGTATTTATTGAATAAAGTATTCGGTAAAATAGAAAACACTGTGACAGTTCTATTTAGTTTTTACTCGAGAATATCTAGTTTACATGAAAGTGATACTTTTGAAATCTATAAATAAATGAATAAACAAATTTGTTTAAATGGACTTTCAAGATATGCAAGAATATTTGCAATTAATGAAAAAAGTAGCAAGAAGATTTGTTTCTAGAAGTATATTGGCAAAACTTTGTTTGGACATGATCGTTCATTGATATACCTGTCATTTACGAGATCACTTGATTTTGAAATAAAGCCTATTTTTGATGACGAAACCCGTTGCGTAGCTGTCATAGAACTTCTTAAGTACTTTCAACCTGATGGCGACTTTAATAGAGTGCCAATTGATTCATCCAGTCCCGTCCAACTCCTTCCATAACTACGGTTACATATCTTTTGCCAAAAAGGTGTCTCCAAAATCGAATATAATAGCAACTTAGGTGTTTAATTAAAATATTTTAAAAAGTGCATCATAAATATGATCGTAATTTCCAATTCGATCAGGACATTTGCAAGAATATGAAAAAAAAGGGCAAAGAAAAAATAATTATCGAACGCAATAAGCGAAACATTTCTAGGTGTGTTCAGACTAGCGCCCGGCGTGACCGCCGTGACTCACGGCAGTCACGGTCACGATCACGGTCACGGCCGTGACCGTGACCAATACTTTGTGAACGTTCGTGACCGTGACCGTGACTGGCGCTTGGTCACGGTTAGTCACGGGAACTTTTTCGAAATTTTGGAAAACCCTGAGGGGGAGTAAGGAGACCTGCGCGAAACTACCCCTCCTCACTCGG